GTTCCGTTTTCCGACTTTCGATTTTGTGCTCCTCTAGGCGCTGCCAACGTAACAATAAAAGTACTGGACAAAAACGACAACGCTCCCATGTTTGAACGTAACACAGTACGAGGCAAAGTCATTGCGAGAGCCTCGAAATTCATGCGTCAATATTGACAGAAAATGCCTATGCAAAATGGCTTTTTATGACAAGAATACCCTTAAGGTTCTTCCGTAGCATAAAAGAGGGAGGGCAGACTCCAGCAGAAAAGCACAAAAAGGAATGGGAAACGTCACGAAGGACCAGCTAATAAAATTTCGAAATGATTCCCGATATTATTAATTCAAAATTTGGTAGTCCACAAGAAAATTCTCTCCAGTTGGACCAATATTGTAAAAGGAAAAGTAGGGGGCGAGGGGAAGAGAGAGTAAGAATCTCATGCACTTAAAATGGCAGGACACCGCTCAATTTCGACAGCCGAAGCAGTCTTGGTGGGACATTTTGGAGTTAGTCATGAGGGAAACTTGCAAAATAAACAAGGAGCTTGCAATCAGCAGACCTTAACGAGCTCGATCTCGCCTGTCTCTCGACCAATTCTGAAGAATTCGCCAGCACCTTGTCCTTCCAGCAAGTAGATTATACGTCGACTCTTTTCGTCCTGAAAATCGTGTATAGCAGTGAAAACGTATATAAATATCCAGCTTGCCTACGTATACATAATTTGATAGTCAGTAGTTTATGCAACACTGGAGGAGATGAGTTGAAACAAGGGCACTTCTTTTTGACATTTCAATTCAAAAATAGAAATGATAAGGGTCAAAGCATTGGTGTGATCAATCCCTCCCTAGGATGAATCACGTACTTTAGTCTCGCTTGGAATCGAGTAGCATATTTAACACCTTGGAGCCCACGCAGCCCATATGTGGGCTGCAGTCCTCCGACCGCATAGGACCTTTCAGCTCGCATTTCGAAACAATTATTAGGTTTTTCATTCATTTTCTTTTCCATTTTATCCGATAAGATTTCTTCTGCATTATACAGTGGGTTCTTCTTTTGAATTTGCTAGATAAGATCCCTAAAAATTTCACCGAAGTCCCGCGCGGCCGCGGAACGTAAAACACGCGCGGTCTCCAAAGTGTTAAAGATGCTGACCAGAGAGGTTTTTCTGCCACCTCGAGCAGGTAGTAACGCGTTCAAATGGGTATGGCCGTCAGGCCATTTGCTTCAAAGCCAGTATTCATGATGGAAAAGCAATTCATTTCAAATTAACTCAGGGATGGTGAGTGGTACACGAAAAGAACCATGAGAAACGGCCCAGAACCCGAGAAATGGGACCCCTTCCTTGCCCGTTGATTTGCGCATTGATGCGACTCTCATCGCTGTGCCCTCTTCAACACAACACTACGCTCTCTCTGCTATCTAATCACTCGCCACGTATAGACCTGCGGCGAGTGAGATGGTCGGTGGGCGGACCCGCCAACTTTGAGGCCATGCTAGGTCGCCGAGGTCAAATTTTTCATGCGAATTGCGCGTCAGTTCGCACCCTCAGGAGGTCCGTGGGTCCCTCAACTAGGTCAGTTTCCCTTTCTTCGACCTTCATTCTAATCGTGAATTCCTCCTTTAAGGCATCTCCATAGGGCTGACTGTAGTTCAAATCACTCTTAAAGAGCCCGTCGAGGCTAGGCGCGCCGCTGATATCCTACATCGCTTGGCCACCACTGACTGATCGGGGGGAAAATTGTGGAACTACTAAAGGCGAACCAATTGACGCTAGCCTTCAGTGAGTTTCGTCGACAATTCCTGATGCCGCAAGACACTGGAGAGGACCATAGGAGTGCTTCGTACGAATAGATTTGACCGCGAGAACATCATCCATTTGCTATTTTTACCAAAACTCGAAAGTCTGGCGCATTCCAAAAAAATTAGCCAAAATTGTCCAGGCAACTCTGATGAACCTTCATAAAGGGCAGATTCCGGTGAACAGGTAATATCGAAGTGCATCTCACAGCACCGTTTAAATATTATAGAATCGATCGATATATTGATTGGAGACGGCGTTCGGAATTCCACCTTTTCAGCTCAATTTCAACTCTTTTTTCTATATAGACTCCACATGAACTCTGACGGATAATCGGAACAGTAACACTTGTAAAAATTGTCATATTTATCATATAGATTAATAGATATATTGTCATAATTCCATCAAAAACGCGTCATTATGAACTCGATTGTATGTCGACGGGATGATGGTCACAAAATGCGTCAAGGAGGCAGGTGTAGATCCCATAAATCACTTCAATCAATTAAACTCATCTAAGAAATAGAAAGGAAAACACGATTCAAAAAAAGAAGAAAAACAAGAAAATAGAAACAGAGAGGAAGTATAACCCTCGCGTTCTAGGCACGGATAAATGTACGTTTGCGCCTTGGCCCGTAGTCAACGTTTTCGGTACAAAGACATGCAAAGAAAAAAGGCACAAAAAATCGATAAGAAAGAGAAGAAGTAAAAAAAAACAAAAGAAAGAGAAAACTATTTACAATAAAAAAAGAGCACTCAAACAAACATTGCTATACGCGTCGCTCGGAAAGCTAATTGATCGACTTTTACTCGGAAGAGCGAGCTGACAACAAAATTACATTCAAAATAAGCACAAGAACACCTATTGATACTGTAGAGTTACCAGTCATCGCTACACTAACAACACGCAGATGACCGTAATTCAAGATACTGTGTGCTACTCAGACTTCTAGACCACCTCAAGCTAGCAAAATGCTGCTCCAGGACTGCTCGCTGAGCTACGAGATTTCGCTACCATAATCACTCAACAAATACAAACATTCCAAGCCAGAGTTCGCGGCACGATGTGTTCTGTGATGACGATACCGTAACCCCGTGCACGGTAGCAATAAGTATCGATTTGCTAGAGATCATTATAAATCATTATTGACTGGCAACGGGGTTTTTAATGTCAACGTGGGTGTCTTCAGACTGTCACATGGAAATTTGAAGAGACTGCTGTTCAACGACGACAACACGTTCGCCGGGCTCATCATCGTCGCCAACGGATGCATCAAGCTGTTCGCACCGCCGCCGGTGTTCGGCGTTGATACCGGAGGGAACTGAAAGATGTGAGGCCCGGCGGCAGTCGGCGTCGTCAGTGGAGACCTGAAACAATAACTAAAACTAAAAAGCGCCTTAGAAGAGTAGCAATCATCTCTACACACTACCTTAACATGAGTTTTAGAAAGACAATAAATCGTATTGCCTTTTTTGGCTTCAAAACTTGGTCTAAGAAGTCTTCCTCAATTCTGAATGGGACAAGACCTTTTATAAGCTACTTTAATAACTACGATAATGAAGGATGAAGCATCCAACATTCACAAGTACTTGTTGGGATGAGCCACGCATTCTACACGCATTCGGAGTTGTAGGGACAGTTGAATGTATTTTGCCTAAATCTAGAATGGCTCGCAGGAGCCAGCCGATTTCCGATACGTATTATCTGCCTAGGCCACTACAGCAACCGTCTACCGACTCCGAAGCGATGGAAAGCTTGGCTGGCCCAGACAGGAAGGATCAACCCTCGAACCATCTCGTGGCAACACGCGCGCACTCTAACCCTCGTCTGCCCTCTACAAATAGCACAGAGCAAGACAGCCGCATTAATGTTAGGTCCTGCTCACTTGTGCGGAACCGGTGTAATTCATTCTGCGGAAGAGTCTGAGATAAGCGGGGTACAGTACTGGCATAGAACAAACTCTTCTTGTGACACGGGTGAATGCAGGCATATTCCATAGGGAATTAACAACGCCAGAAGCCTAACCGCCTCATAGAAAGGACATTTGAGAGCTATTGAAAGAATCCTGAAGATTCGAACAAGCTGAAACAAAACTGCTGACATAAAACATGAACTCATTTTGGAAGCCAAGCACAATTGATGCTTAAGTTGCGATTCTGGATTCCGAAATCCTATTGAGATCAGAAATGTAAACTCAAATTAATTAGGTAGGTACCGGATATCTTAGTGTCGTTTTTTCACCACGAGTTTCGGACCACCAATATTTTAATTCAGAATCCGGGGAGTGAAACAGCATATTCATCGAATGACTCATTTAACACTTTCCCATTTACCAGTATGAGTGGAAACCTCGTACGATTGAAGCTAGGAATTTTTTGAGTCGAAAAAGAGAGGTAGGTCGGTTTTGACATCATCTGACAAATCATCCCTCTCACTTGCTAAAAAGTTAGGCCTGGACAAAAGAAGTATACATTTAGTTAGAGTAGGGTCTGCACTGTATGGTGGAAAAGTTATAACTTACCAGCTCAACTGGACAATTTTTCCCGGAGTCTTTTTTGCCACATAGGGTCAAAAACGCACCCTTTTTGAGCACACGTGAGTAGCAGATGAGCACATTTATTAGAATTTCTTGGTCAATCAACTTCGTTAAAGCGTTTGCACCATTGATCATCACTACTAAGGTGTCCTACCATTTCAGCACAAGACTGGTGCAGCCCCGTCTCGACTGATTTAACTAGGGCCACCTTTTTGACGACGATTGCGGGCATCACTTCAAAGACTTCACTGTCTTTTGAGAAAACTGTGAAAAACCGATGAGCATTTTAAATGGTAGTATTCCCTCCAACAAATGCAATGTTGGTTTGGTGGGCGGAAGTTGTAGCTCCAGCAAGAATTTTGAAGCCTTTTGGTAACATAAATGCGGATGCACACTGAATCCAGAATTCAAAAAAAAAAAAACAGTATAAGAAATCGGGAAAAATTAAATTTAAACGAAACAAGAAGAAACACCATAACATATTTTCGCAGTATATAAGCAAAAAAGGATCTCTGATAACATTGTTTCCCACATAATCGGCTCCGAAAACTTCCTAGAGCTCAGAAAAAGCGAAACGGAAACGTCAAACTAGATAATAGCCCTGCAGGATGCAAGAAGCGGAGCTCAGAGCAGTGAAAAATCGGTCGAGGAAACGGCAACGGCTCGTCGAGGATTTTCGCCTGATCAGTTACACTCTCCCGCGCGGATATTCACTCTCGCCACCCGCGAACCGTCTGTGCTCGCGCGCCGTAACACATCTCGAACTATCCGCCAGTACAGCCCAAAGGCGAGAATCAACCGTACGCTCAGACCTCAATACTGTTAATATCGTAGTTTGTACCGGTCATGTACAAATATTGGTGGTCATTAGATACTGCACGAAATGAAGGCGAATTGATGGAAAACCAGAATGAAGGAGCTGTAATGCACGTTTTCCACACTAACAGCCCAATTAGCGAGGCAATGATTGGAATTCTCCCGCGGAAGGGTGTGCCCCTCCTTTCGCCATTATATGCAGTGACGTACTGAACAGTTCACCTTCTGCTCAGTCTATGAAGGAAAAACATCGTTCGATTCCGCTGACAAAATATGGATTAGGCCCCGTACCGCTATCCTGAATCGAAGCCAGATATCTGCCAACAGGGTAACGAAGCCCAATAGTGCCAAGTTTGACCTTCATTCACTTTCTTCACGCGATTTCAATATACGGATCAAAACAGAACCAGACATGATTTTCATTCCCCAGACGGAAGGTCCAGCCCGCAGACAATGGGCACTTTGTCACCGCCTTCTAAGGGCACATCTCAGCGGCTTACTCAGCCAGCAATCTTAATCAATGAGACAAATGTTGGGTCCGATTGCCAACAGCAATGCGCAGAGATTTGACCTGGTTTTTAACTGCTGAAGAAATTATTATAGAATCAGCTGAGAATGACTCATAAAACTACTGAAGCTGAACCTAGGTAGAAAGTGCAACTAACCGAAAGGGTGAGTTGGCCATTGCGGCTAGCACAGGCGAATTTGGTGCAAATATCGGTGTCGTTGAGGCCAGCGCGTAAAGCTGAAGCCGATGTTGTAACAGTAACGGCGACATCTGCTGCATCAACTGCATGTGATACGGTGAGATCGCGCCATGCGGAAGACTTGGTGACAGCAGCTGGGTGGTTGCCGACAGATTCAGCGGATCAGGACGTTGGCGGCGTGGGACCTGAACCACGACAATTATTTTAACCTTTATTAAAATTACCATTTCCGATTATCTTCACATTACAGTAACCAAAAAACTCACCACCGCTATCGGTGATGCACGTCGCTTCCTGGACGAATCAGAATGTACGGATGCGGGTCGCGATGATGGTCCGGGAGGTGTAACGCTGAGCGTCGGCAATGACGATACACCGGATGATGAGCCAGCGCTATGTGCCGAGCATGAGCTAAACGGAAACCAATTTAGATGATTCATCAAAACTACGCAATAGAACTCAGTAACAAAAACTGGAAATCTCAGAAATCAGACGTAGCCATTCAGCAACAATCCGAAGCCGGAACGGTTTCAAAGATATAAAAATTCCGCAGGTCACAGATCGTAACACTACTCAAAAACTAAAAACACTGCAAGACATGGAACGCCGCTACCTTCAAAATTAGACCAAAGAAACTACAATGAAAAAGCGACAGCAAACTGTGCCGAGTCAGCTCGAGAATTAGCCCTTGAAAACAAATATAAGTTTTTTGATTCATTATTTCGGATTCCTATTCTCAAAAAATTCTGATTTAGCCGAAATTCTTGAAGAATCAGATATTTACCCCAAAAAATTAACAGCGCAATCTTTCTTGGACTACCACAGTATAGAACATGCAAATTTCACACCCCTACTGCATTTTGCCTAAGTAGAAGACTGGTAAAACTATGATGCTGCTGGACGCACTTTAAACCCTTAGGACAAGATTCCGTCCGGGCTACCTCCAATGATTCTTTTCAACAATGCCGGCTGATTAGCACCAAATTTCTATGTGAGGATAAAATCCTAATTAGACCAGCTGGAATATGCTGTACAAAGCTGGCGCTCACATTATACTGCATTTATGGTCCTATACGGACATAAATGGTCTAGGAATGAGAGATAGCGAATAAACTAAATGCCCCCGGCCCGGCCCCCCCGCCAACTCATTATGCCTTGAATAAATTGCATTTCTTGACCTCGCTCAATATATCAGGACTGTCCAAGCCTCAGGAACATTTTACGGAAGCTTTCCCCTCATTTCCAGCCCCTCGACTACCTACTGTGTATCCAAACAACCCTGTCACCGGCTCAGTTCACCAGTAAGTCATCGTAAGGCTGTAGTAAATCGACTGCCGATGCGTTCCGTTGCGTCACCTAACCGTTCTCATCTCTCCGCCGAACTGGGCTATAAACGCACGGCTCTAGAATACCCTTGAGCTCCCCGTCCCATCAGCAATTTTATCACTATCGAAACACCCACACTCCAGTGACTCATGGCACATCGCCACACAAACACAAAACTCACTGCTTGAACACCTGATAACAACAAAAAACGCGAAAGTACAAACAAATTTTCAATAAGTGCACTTAAAAAATCACTGATAAGAAATGACACATGCACTTTACTGAGCTGTTTGAATATCGTGGAGCGTAACTCTGTCAGCTCTGGAAAATTTTCTGAGGGTATAAGGGAATTTGTGACAGTTAGCGCTCTCAAATGAGCTCGAAACTCCTGTGCTCATAAAAAATCAACACTACAATATCTTTTGAAGGGGCAATTAATCTTTCTGATCAACACATCATGTATTGCTTGGAGGGTTTTTTGGTTTGGGAAGTGGGGGGTTCCCTTGCTTTTCAATAGTTCGTATTAAATTTGAGGAGTAGATGGTACATTGGCCAGATGCACTGCTTGCTACGGCACTTTCGAGGGTCAAATCTTGAAAAGAACCCCGCGTTAACCATTCAAGCTTTTCCCATCTTTGCGCCAGTTTGCTGTCACCAGAAACTCCCGTGAGTCATTGCATAGAACTAGCTACACCAAAACGGCGCCACCTCCCTGAATGGGGGCACAACGCGAGGCACATCCCAAAAGACTACCGCGCTACATCTTTTGTATTTTGCTGAGTGCTAAATAAAAGTGATGGGCGACGGGACACATAGAATGGTTGGTCATTGGGTTAAATTGGTTGCAAGCCCCGGTACGTAAATCGACTCGAAAGCGTCGTGAGGGGCAAGGACCATTTCAAGATCTTCCGGCATGAGAGGGCCGCGCTGGCCGCAACCGTGTAAGCCTCGAGGCTGCCATCACAAATCGTCCCTGTTCTTCGGGCCTTTCTATCTTACTGCCGTTTCCTTGTTCGTTCTTCCCTTTTTTCTTTCTTTTTCATATTTCTTTATCGTGGACTATTTTACAAAATCGGCACTCCATTGTATGCCCATCGTTTCAGAGTACTAATTGAATAAATAAGTGAATAAATAAACCATTGATCTTCTGATTAAGTTCCAAATGCTCTTCCCAATTTTTGCAGTAACGACTTAAACACCCAAAGTGGCAATTTTCGATATCGTGTTTTCTTGGCGATTTTTTAGAGATATCTAGGGTGTACCTTTGAAGTAATAAGGAACTATACCTGTTGGTCGGAGACGGTGTCGAGGCACTCGCGCCCGTACTGGTGCCACTCAAATTCAATGACGTCAACTCTGATTGGGGTGCATAGCTGGTCAGAATAGGCATTGATGACGTATCTGGAAAATAAGCTATTCACCTCTAGGCAAAGTCAACTCTCGAACTCTAACAGGTCAAGTGGAGAGCAGCCTGAAGACGGTTCAGGTTCTTGAATGAAAAAAATAATACCAGAAATATCGGATGGAAAGAAGTAGGGAAGAGTAAAGTCTTCGTGCCTTTGGCATTTCGCCTGCATACTCTCAGGGTAACGCGTAGGGATAGAACTGAAACGCTATTGAAATTCGTACGAAATCTCTTCAACTCTCCAGTTTCGGCAGGGAATATTCAATAGCCATTATCAGAACACTGGGCTGACCAAAAAGTTCGCAGAAACTTTTGAAATGCGGGAATTTTTTGATTTTTGTTTGTTCCCTTGAGTATCTAGAGCTTGCTGATCATCCACCAAGTGCAAAAATGTCAAACAAACGTTTCCAATTTTATCGCTATTCTCAGAAGAACCCTTAGCAATTTGAGATTTAAAATGGATGATGTTCGTGCAGCAGCAAGAAGCAGCTGGTAGAAAATTGTTGAGAGCTACACTATTTTAATTTTCAAAAAGTAACTCTTAAGACTTTCACGTGAAGGTGCGCAGCAATTCTTTGAATTTTGTCATTTTTCAGAAATTTCTCGCCATATTTTTGTGACATTATTGAAGCCGTCAAGGAAAGAAGATGTCCCTTTACGGTCACACCTGGTCACATTTAGACTCCAGTAATTTCGATTTGTCCCACATTTACATTATAGGTTACGGTATAAAAAATAGCCTAATGGCTTCATGGAATCTAATGGATTGTTTCATGAGTGACTGGGTTTCAGTCCGCTGACTTCACATCAAAAACCGCTGCGTCTCTCTCTCCCGTTACCATCGATAAATCACTGTCGCCATCAAGAGAACGTGTTCTGTACCGCAACGATTCATCGAGATGCTTCCGTTTGTTTTTTCATATGATGACGTCATTAGATGAAAAAGAAAACGACGCACCATGATCCGGCCTACATGGCTCTTCCTTAACAATGCTTGTTGTCGTTGTCGTTGTCGCCGTCGAGAGAGGCGGCGCCGGCGGCGGCGGAGGAGGAGCAGGAACTGGAGCAGGATGAGCGTCGGGTTTGGCCGTCACGCTCGTATTGCTCATCGCTCGACATAAACTCATGTTATACGCGACTGGTTCGGTGATATTCGCTTCGACGAAACGGTACACAAATTTTTGACCGATCACCTGCAACAAAATTGATACTGCACTAAAAAACATAAATTGCTTACTTACTTAACCCTTGATTTTTTTTGAAAAATCATAAATGCAGCATTGCAACTAATCATGCAAAATTCAGCCAGTTAGAGGGTAAGGTGGGGGGGGGGGAATTATTTATCACACGAAAAAAATGATGTCATCACAATGTCACGTGCCATGACCTATTAAATTCATTTATTAATGAGGTAAGGAGACACCCGAAAAAAATCATAGACCCCTATGGCCTGAATTTTTCAAAATAATGCGTCTGTTATACGAGCCCGGACCGTACAATTGCTCCCAAAGTACTTTACGGCCACGAACCATCGAACCTTATCCCGGGGCCGCAGCGCAACCGGAGTGGATACGGCTCATCCAATGACGTATTCAGTTAGGTAGGCGTTTGATTCAATTTGTTGGTGCAAAACAATCGGTAGCACACAGTTGACATTTTAGGTAGATTTTTTTATCGGTAGGTTGGCGAAATCTGAATGCGTTCGAATATCCGTTAAAAACTACCAACCTTTTTGATGATATTTTTGTCGTAGTAGTATCGAAGTGCCCTAGACAACTTGTCGTAATTCATATGTGGCTTCGCCTTTCGTTGTCCCCACAATCGGGCGACGGCTTCGGCATCCAAAAGCTGAAAGGCACAACTGACATTGAGAACTCGTGTGAACCCACAATAACCCCAAAATTTCTTGTTAGAGCCAATTGTTACGGCTCACGGCTGGTTGGAAATTTCAAACCAACCCCACTGTAAATTATCAGAACCTCCTAATGGAACTTTGGACCGATCGCACGTCACACCGTATCAGTGCGACTCTTCCGTCTCTTGTCGGCATAGCGCTTAATTGTTATCCGCACGCAAGCTGTTCTTGGAGGGGTCAATGGTGGTCCGGTTGGTCATTTTTTTTATTTCCGCACACAAAAAATAAATCGGCTTCTTCGCCTCAGGCTGTACGGCTGCTAAACATCTGTTGATGAAATCTAACCTGGCCGGCTACACCCCTCATTTCTTCAGGACAATCACTTAATTGCCGCAGTATTTTGAGAAGCTCGATGAAACAAATAGCAAGACCTAACCCAAAAAAACCATTTGATATACGAAATTTGCATATAAATGCCCGTTGGGCAATTCTAGGTGTGAGTAAGATGCATGGCGTATATGAAGGGTAGTGTTTCTGCTGATGACTTCACACAAATTACCAATCATATGCAAACCAATGAAACGTCCGTGGTATGCGTGCACCCACAAGGAAAATACGGCCTAAAGCGATTAAATCTGGCCTTTGGCTCCCAGAATAATGGAATTCCCCAAGCTTAGAAGGCTACCAACTGTTTTGCAGAAGCACTGTTTCGAGTATGGGTCATCCCACCCCTGTTGTTGTGTAACGAATAATAATTTCTGGACGAATGGAAAGAAATCGTCACTAAAACCAGAAGGAAGGAGAACCAAAATGAATGAAAGAACCGCCGAAGTTATTACGTATCGATGCCAAACACACTAACGCCCATCTCCCTTCTTGAAAAACATTGAGCAAATGTCTCTAATTCCAAACATTCTCGAATTCAGCACTACTTAAGCGATGCCTCGGTGCTCACGTCGTTAGGGAGACATTGAAGTGAGTGAGCCTCTTACAGAAATTGCGACTAGGCCTTAGGAAGGGGAAGAGGTTCTGAGGGACTCTGGCCTTTCCCCTCCCTCATGGGCTTGGTCCTGCACAGTGTCACCCATCAGCGATTTTAATGCCCTGCTTTGAATGTTCCCACGAGGGCATTAGTGATGATGCCTCTAATATTCTGAATATAAGCCAAATACATGGCGCAGCCGAATGTGGTCCGTCCACACTGGGTTTTCTGTTTATTTTTGCAGCTGTCATCACTGCAACATTGCCGCCACGCCCTTTCACTCGTGCCCATCAATACAACAAAAAGTGCTGCGCTTGGCATCCGGCCAACATATTACACTAGTGACGAAATGGAAAGCCTACCTTGAATTCGCCCTCTCGATTCGTCCACTGAATCAATTGCGGATGTTCACCTTGTATTAACAGTTCCAGCAGAAATTGCCACAAAGTAATATTCGAGTCGACCGAAGTTCTATTCGAAAACTCGTTATCGTGACGGGCAGTCAGGCCTATAGAAGGCATTGTGTCCATCATTATCAAGTCGACTTCTGGAGCAGCTCCGATACTTTCAGAAAACTGGGCGATGGTCTGTCTCACAATCTGTAAACCATATATCCTTTATTGTGGTTGGGCTTATAACGAAACGTCGAAAAAACGGGCACTTTTCACGAAAACGAGCACGAATAGTTAAGGCATCACGAAATTCAGTAATAGCAATTGATATGTGACCACAGAGGAACGGTCATCGACAAAATGAGTGACAAGGAATGATGTTGGATGAATAAGATGAAAATCATGTATGAACCTGTTGAAACAAGAAAGTTCCGGGGAAAACACTCATGTCGAGACATGTTCCACCAGAACAAGCCATCTACCGACCTGTTAACTGAGCGGATATTCCCGTGGGACAAGTCATATGTCGTCGGGAAATGGCTATGATTATCAGTCATTAATGAAGGATTAGATGAGTAAGCTTGAAGAATCACTCTATAACAATGACACCTGAAAGCCGTTTATTGCACCAAAGAATCTGTTTATCCATCTGAATAGGGTAATCCTCTTTCAATTACTTTTTACCCACCAAATTTCCCAGGAATTTTGAGCATAGCTTTGCTTATGGAAGCATTTAACAGAGATTAAATCCCTGCTCTGCCTTGAAGGACGACGGGCAGGGAATGATCCAACGAAAAGCAGGCCTTCTCCAAACCTAACACTTTTTTTTACATGTTTGGCTTTGTTTGACATGTTAGTGCTTCGTCAGTAAACAGGAGCTAACACGTTGAACGATCGCCGCCCAGCCACTTCGCAGGATTGCTGAATTTCCCATCAAGAAGCCAAAAAGTATAGTTTACATCGAACTGAAGGATAGGATTTCCTTCAGTTCAGTGATCCCGGACGGAGTGGACACGAGGGCGTGGCGGATGTCCCGCCCCTGTCGGGGACGAGAAGACCGGGTGGACAGCGGTCGCCGTCGATGGGCGGGGCACATGTAATCAGTTCGAGCGGATGCACATCGCGGATATTAATCGTTAACCTAATTGACAGATTTATGTTCACGGTTGTGCGGTGTGGTTCGTGGTGATTAGAAGACAACAACCCGGGCGGCGATCGATATCACCATCACTGGCAGCAACGAAGAGAGGGCGGAAGACGATCGGAAGTGAAGGAGAGCGCCAGCACAGAGATGGAACCCGTTTATGGTGATGACGAGACGCGGCGCCCTGTGTGTATGTGTGTGTGACGACTGTCCCGTGGTCTCAACGCACCCAACGCCACAATGGTGGCATCTTCTGGCGCCAGCTGGTGCCCGCTTAATTCTCTTCCGCTTACAGCCAATTTTTCCTCGGAAAGCAATGACATCGCAGGTAATGACGACGTCTCCGGAACTTTGAGATCAGTGAGGTAGTTTCCGAGCACGTCATTTTGCGACTGTTCCCTCCGAGACCACTGTCTCCTCGCTCCCTTACACTAGATTTTCGTGATCCCTTGCTTTCGTAGAATAATGCAATATAATTTCGATGAGAATGGGACCAAAATACAAGCGTCGAACGTATGGGCCATGGGCTCGGTGGCTATGGAGTATGTGGAAAAGCGCACCCCTACGTTGTTAGAGGTCGAATCCAGGATCGACTTTGACTCAGTCAGGTTTACACATTCCTATAGAAATCTTCAACCTACTTTTATTCCCTCAAAGTAGGTTGGTTATGATTAGACTTCTCAGGAATGTATAAACCCTGAATTGTACGTTGACCGGAACCCTTAAGTCATTGTACCGAATCGCACTAAATGCCACTTTGATTCTGATTTGAGTCGAATGCGTGGCGCACTCGAGAAAGGTCGAATGCTTGTCCTCCTCTACTCATATGAACCGCGTTACGGTCCCACACGCAGCAAAAGAAAAAGAAGGTACACCTATTCTGATAATTTTTGCAATAGCCTAATCTTAGCAAAATGGCTGAAATCCGCTTAGGCTGATCAAGCACACCTCATATTGACTTATGGTTTTACATGAAATCAAGAGTAGAAATACTCATGCAAAAGCTTACATGAATAATCTTATACATTCACCATAACGTAATTCGGCTTTTCCAGGATGCGCCATGCATTCGACTTCAAGTCAGAATCGTAGGAGCATTTGAATGGCGATGCAATTTGGCGTATATAATGACTTACGCATTTCGTTCGATGTGAAGTCAGCGTTTTTACTCCTGCTCATAAGTAAAATAACAAACCACCTTGAGGGAAGGGAAGTTTGATTGCACTTGGCGGTAAAGATTGAAGTCGAGTGCATGGCTCCTACCACAGTTATCCGATTGAATAGCGAGCCTTTTCTTTCTGATCCCTCCGAGATTCAAAAATTGAAGGAATAAGGCTAGGATTCCTGAGTTTTAAACAAACCAAATAAGGTTTCCGAGTTTAGATAACACGGTGATGATGAATGAATGGTCTATTTGTATTCAGAGCTAGTTTTAAATTTAATTCCTCAGAAAACCCGAATAAATCGAACAAATTTTCAATTCCTAGATGCATGTCCATTTTCACTTTTTTCCTGGAGGTCTTCTTAGGAACATTTAACAACTTTAGCCTATAATGTTTACACTTAACAAATCTGAGGTGGCCGTACAAACCGGTTTCATTTCACCAGATTCAATACTGGAAATGTCACCATAGATGTCTTCCAGTTCTCCTTTCGTACTTAATCACTTTAGAGAGGAAATGACAGTCTATTCGAGAGTATCGCATTCATTCTGCGATACATGAAGAGCTATCTAAACAAACAAGGCTCATAATACTTCCAAAGTCGTTGACGTTACCGGAACCCGGAAAACGGAGCGGAAGTGGTGCATAAATTTGTGGTCCAAATGCGATATCGCGGAAGAACCCATCTACCTCAGAAAAATGCGGCAACCTTCGCATATTTTCAGCACTCTTCATATCTAATTTTGTTGGAGTTTGGAAGAAATTGAAAAAATATATTTTTTTGCAGTTACTTATTTATCTTCCAGCAGCGTATCTTGGGCCATCTTATGGTTAGCGCCACATTTCACGATGATAGAATATTGGTAGTGAGCTTGAAATACCGAATAGCAAGTGCTGAGCATAATCCAACCTTAACGACAAGGCGCTCCGAATAAAAACCCCTTTTATAGTTGTTTTGGGGTATTTCGGCCCACAACGAAAAGAGTGATCGGCCGAGTGCGAGACACCGACGACGAGGAGACGATAGAGGGTAGATACAAAAGAGAAATGGACAAGGAAGTGGCTACAAGAAGAAGCCGAGTTCGGCGTAGAGACATCATTACTGTGTCTACTATGCCATATTAACAAGCCTACTCCCCCCGCCCCTCTTCTGGCACCACAGCAGCTTCTCATTTGCTTGGCACACCCCGTGAACTTGTTGTGGAATGTGACTTTAAGTACGACAATGAAATAAAAATTTTCTCCACTCTCGGAAAAATATCAAAAATTTGATCAGTAAGGGGAACGAATCAATATTAAGCATTAGAAATGTGACATTTGCTCATTGCGTACCATGGACAAAAAACCTCAAAGCCAGTAAAAACTCAAATTTGAAACCTTAATGATAAGCATTTTCTCAAAAATGAGTGATTTCAGAAGGAAACTGTAAAAATAATGTTGAATCTTCAAAGCTAATAGAGAAAACCTCTACTCAAATGTGCTGCTGTTCTGGAGATCAGCCTGGGCTTGGGACGGGCACAGCGGGTGGAACACTCCAACACCCTTGGGCGAAATAGAAAACACGGGACACAAACCACAAACAAAAACAAGACGGTCAAACATCCTGAAGACTGAACATTACACACAGCGGGACAGACAACCGTAAATAGAGAGGAGAGCTGTAGCGACCAGGAGTGAAGTGAGCGATGGAGACGTTGTGAGTACGTCCGGAGTAGGCGAAAACACTTGAGAAAGGCAGAAATGGGGAAAAATCCTCTTCGAGTCATCACAAAATTTCGCTAAGAGTTACACTGAAAATGATCACAATTCCCTCATTCCCCAATTCCCCACCCCCCTTTTTCCCCTACAAGTTTGAAATCGACGTGTGCAGCCACTTCCAACTGTAAGTTCCTTGAAATATGCTAACGCACGCTTAAATTAAGAAAAAAAAAAAAGAAGAACAGCGCGAATAACGTTATTTCTTCTTTGGGGAATTGCGCCATATGATCTATTGATGGTTCCCAAAATCTGGGAAGTCTTAGCGGGCTCTATCGCATTTGGCCAACTTGCTATAGAACCTTAGAACTCCAATGTCAGCGGCAAAGCTACAGTTCCGAACTGCTTTAAGTACCGCATGGCCTCAACCTCACTCATACAAGGAATAGATAAATCATAATAAATGGTGCCTACCGTTGAGAGTGAAAATTAAGATTGGGACAGGCGGAGACCGATCTCTGCATTTTTATCAGCGATTTCTTTGGCCACAAAGCCACCTCCGTATAAGCAAACAGGAAATGAAGGTGCCATTTCTCCACAATTTACATTTTAAGGGTCAATAAAAATTATTCAAAACTGTAATTCTCAATGGATATTTGAGCAGTTTTGTATCGACGGCAGTTCTTACGAAATCAACCAATTTTTGATGACATCGGGAAAAAAGAAAACGCAAAAAGCGAGACGTGGATGAGTTGGCGCATCGCTTTTTGTCAGACTCAATAAAAATAGAATTGTGAAGTTGAAACTGCTAATTAAAAATCTTGAGTACTCGTGTTCTTTTGCTAATTGCCAGTTCAAACATGAGGTTGAGTATTACTTCCTCATGACTTTACTGAGAATGCATTGAAAATAAATCAAGACAGAAAAGAATATGAAGAAGGAAAAGGAAGGAAGAATAAGAAAAAAGGAGGAAAGCTTTCACCTAACGTGGCACCCATTGCCGAAACCCGCTGCTTTTCTTGAGGAAGCCCTCTGCGGGTGCACTCGCGCGTTCGCGTCTCAAGTGCAACCGGACGGGCTGAGAAGGTTCAAATGGCCATCCACTTCCGCTTGTCTAACATGGCCATCGCGTAACGCAC